AATTACTATATAACTTTGGTGGTGTCATACCTTCCTGTTTATTTGTAGTTCTAGTATTTTTATGCTGATGTTTTGTCATCTGGTAGAAAACTTGTTTCTTCTATCACTATGGAGTAGTCGTTGTGGGGAAACACTTCTGTCCTCTATTTATAGGTTTTGCTGGTGCCTATTCTTGGATCAGTGCTTTTGAGTATGCAGTGGGCTGCCGTGGCTCCTGTTTGGTCAGTGGAAGAGCCCCTCCAGTGCTTGGGCATGAGTGGGCCTGATGCTGGGTTAGGCCTGTTGAGTGGCACAGGTCCAATGAACTCACCTGAGTAGGTTGGAGGGCCCATCTCATGCTCAGGCATGAGCAGACCCACGGTTGGGTTGGGCCTGGGGCATACTGCATGTCTGGCATGCTCACCTGGGCAGCCACTCAGTCAGCAGGTGGGCTGGAAATTCAATGTGAGTATGAATTCTTACTTAGTATGATAAATTTGTCTTAACACAGCAAGGAAGAAGAAAATAGATTGTGATACTAATAGTAAAATAAATTACGGACATTATTGGGTGCTAGCCATGTAGGAAAAAATTCTTAAGATGAAAAAATACTGCCCTTGTTTGTCATATTGAAGGATCCTCTTCCTATATCTCATGGTAATGAAATGAGAATAAACAAGACTTTCAAAGAGATTCCACTGCTTGATAACATGATGGCTAACATGTCTTGTTATATGTAAGTTTTTAAAATGCAAGGCTAAAACAAGCTTGTTATATAAAATTCTAAACTGTCACAGAAGTTGTAACAAACAAAAATGTAAGTGTTGTATAATCAGTTCACGTTATTAACATTATGTGAATTCTTTGTATAGCAGTGAACTGCTCTGTCTCTCCACAGTGGTTACCCCACTGGTGATTACGATTGCCGATCCAAACACAAAGAGAAATTTTCTTTATTCCTTTCTTTGTTTAAATAAAATTGCATGTATTAGGCATCTCCCTGATGATTAGTGATGTTGAGCATTTTTTCTTATACTTCTTGGCTATTTGTATGTCTTCCTTTGAGAAATGTCTATTCAGCTCCTTTGCCCCTTTATAAATTGGATTGTTTGGGTTTTTGCTGTAAAGTCGTCTGAGCTCTTTGTATATTCTGGATATTAATCCCTTGTCAGTGCATATTTTGCAAATATTTTCTTCCAATCTGTAGGATGCCTTTTCACTCTATTGATTATTTCCTTTTCTGTGCAGAAGCTTTTTAGTTTGATATAATCCCATCTATTTATTTATTTTTGTTGTTGCCTGTGTTTTTAGGGTGTTAGTCATAAAGTTATTTCCTAGTTCTAAGTCCTGGAGCATTTCCCCTATGTTTCCTTCTAGGAGTTTTAAAGTTTCAGGCATCAGAAATTTAAATCAAAACCACTTTGAGATATAACCTCACCCCAATCAGACTGTATTATGAAAAAGACAGAATAAGAAATGCTGGTGAGGATGTTGAGATAGAATAAACCTCTTGCACTGTTGATGGGACTGTAAATTAGTACAGCCATATGGAGAACAGTATGGATGCTTCTTAAACAACTACAGATAGAACTTTCATATGATCCAGCAATCCCACTCCTGGGGATATATCCAGAGGATTGGGAAACATCAGGTCAAAGGGATACCTGCATGCCCATATTTATTGAAGCTCGTTTTACAATAGCTAGGTGATGGAACCAACCTAAATGTCCATTGATAGATTGTAAGATTTGGGATGAATCCCAACCTCACATAGAACGGGAAGACTCACCTCGAAGAGACCACAAGACCAGGAGCAATGCATTTAGCAAGAGGTTTATTATTTCCAACGCATTGGGTTCTCACCACCAAGCTGGGGTGAGACCCCGTTAGGCTTTTTAGCTGTCCTTTTATACATTTTTTAGGGGCAACTTTTCTGGCAGCCAGGAGACAAAGCCATAAGCAGTGTTTATTGGCTAACTTAAGTGACCCTAAAGCTCATTGGTTGGCACCCATCCGTCTCTAGGTGATTTCCCTTCTGACTTCTTTACTGGTAAACACTTGGCCATCTGCTGGTTTGACTTAGCTATGTAGAGACATAAAATCAGCTAAGTACTTCTGTACCTCATAGCTCTGTGGTTACAAGCCTGTGCCTGTGTTAGCAAGAAAACCACAGGCTGTCAGCTCTGAGCTCTTCCTGTGTAGGGGAGAAGTAGACCAATTCTCAGAGACCCCTCCTCAAGCAACCACACTTCTTGCCCCACTTACCCAGGTGTGATAAGACCCCTACCCAGAGGTTCCTTAGAGAACATGCTTATGTGGAAAGTTTTATGTTCTACCGCAACCTACATTTCTCAGCTCTTGCAAGCTAGCAGAACACCCTGTGTATCTGGCTGGCCTGGGGGAGTGGGGCAAGGTGTGTCTTGCTGTAACAGCTTTTAAGATGGCTTCACTGTTGCTAAGTTAGAGCAGCCCATTTACAAAAAGCAAGGTGTGTCTTGCTGTAACAGCTTTTAAGATGGCTTCACTGTTGCTAAGTTAGAGCAAGCCTGTTTACAAAAGCAGATAGCGCAGGTTAGAAGTTTTCATTTCCCCCTGTTCTATGTACAAATTTTAATCATAAAATTTCAGTTTTTTGTTGGCCTATGGCCTGATATTGCTGTCTTAGCATCATGATCTGAACAGTGTTTATACGATTTTTAACAAAGTTCAGCATACAGCTTAGAATACATGGACCAAAAGTGAACAGTAACATTATAATTATTATAGCCCCAAGCAAGGTGGATATCAGGGTAGTGAGCCAAGGGGAAGCATTGAACCAGGATTCAAACCAACTCTGATTTTGACTATATTCAGCTTTCCTTTTTGCTAAGCTTTCTCGGACCTTTGCCATTGAGTCTTTTACAGTTCCTGAATGATCTAGATAGAAACAGCATTCTTCTTTTAGAGCGGCACAGAGTCCGCCTTGCTGGAGGAACAAAAGGTCTAGCCCCCTCCGATTTTGTAAGACCACTTCAGAGAGGGAAGTGAGGGACTCTTGTAGTTTGGTAATAGAATTTTCTATTTCTTTGATGTCAGCATCTATGGCTGCTTGCAACCCCTGGGAATTTTGATGCTGAATTACAAGAGCCGAGGTTCCTGTGGCTGCCCTGGCTGTTCCTAGTCCTAAGCCTAAGAGGACCGAGAGCGTGATGCTTAGGGGCTCTCTTTTGGTAGGGCAGCCTTTGGAGTCCCAGCTGTCCAGCAAACTCTCTTAGGGGTAATATGTGATCCTAGGCATTAACTGGATTAAGACACAGTAGTCTCTGGTTAAATTTAGGACGTGTAGGTTTACATAGGGTGTAATCCCGGTAGAGCAGGCCCACCACCCTTCGGGGGGAGGCACCAGATACAAGCACATACTAAGTGAGGTTTTGGGGGACATGGGGGCTATAAGCTTTAAAACTCTGGAGGGAGACAACAAAGCAAAGCAGAAATACATGAATTTTTATCTTACAGTTTTCCACGTGACCAGGTGATTTTTAACTGTAAGGGATTGTCCTTAGAAGTGTAGACTTTCCAGGTGGTGCCGTTGTCTGTGTTGTGGTCTCTGGGTGGTACTGGCTTCACATGTGAGGCGTGGATCTAGGTAGAAATCCTGTCCACCTTGACAGCTGTCGGGGTTGTCAGGAGCACCAGGTAAGGTCCTTTCCAGTGAGGCTCCAGCGAGTGGGGGTGGTGGCGCCTCACGTAGACAGAGTCTCCGACCTGGAACCAGTGAGACGTCTGGGGGTCCCAGACAGCCTTCTGCACTTCTTGCAGCCCTTTTAACCTAGCATATAAATCATGGTTACGGCGGCATGCAGACTGGAACCCAAAAGTTGCAGGGGCAAACGTGTCCCCCAGCAAGGTTAAGGGTGCTGGGGCACCATAGAGGATTTCAAAGGTGGTTAGGTTAAGCTGGGAGGGGGTATTCCTGACCCTAAACAGGGCCAGAGGGAGGTGGACCACCCAGTTTGCGCCAGTCTCCATGGTTAATTTGGTCAGGGTCTCTTTTAGAGTTTTATTTATCCTTTTTACCTGCCCTGAACTCTGGGGCTTATATGCACAATGTAATTTTTAAGAGGTCCCCATGAATCTGGCCACTCCCTGACTTACCTGGGCGATGAAGGCAGGCCCATTGTCAGATCCGATTACCTTAGGCACTCCGAAACGTGGGAAGATCTCTTCCAGGATTTTCTTGACCACAATGGTGGCAGTCTCTTGTTTTGTTGGGAATGCTTTCACCCATCCTGAAAAGGTGTCTACAAAGACTAGGAGATACTTATAACCATCCTAGGTCTTTTGCCAGGTTCAGTGGCACTCTTGCATACATTTACTTTTTGGCAAGGTTTACAATTTTTGACTATTTGCTT